AACTATCCGTGGATGGTTCAGAACTATCCGTGGACGGTTGCCAACTATCCGTGGACGGTTGCAAACTATCCGGGGACGGTTACAAACTATCCGTGGAGGGTTACCAACTATTCGTGGATGGTTCAGATCTATCAGTGGATGGTTACCAACTATCTGTGGACGGTTGCAAACTATCCATGGATGGTTCAGAACTAGACATGGACGGTTACCAACTATCCATGGACGGTTGCAAACTATCCGTGGACGGTTACAAACTATCCGTGGACGGTTACCAACTATTCATGGATGGTTCAGAACTATCCGTGGATGGTTACCAACTATCTGTGGACGGTTGCAAACTATCCATGGAAGGTTCAGAACTAGACGTGGACGGTTACCAACTATCCATGGACGGTTTCAAACTACCCGTGGACGGTTGCAAACTAACCGTGGAAGGTTACAAACTATCCTTGGATAGTTACCAACTATCTGTGGATGGTTCAGAAGTATCCGTGGATGGTTACTAACTATCCGTGGACGGTTGCAAACTATCCGTGGATGGTTAAGAACAATCCGTGGACGGTTACCAACTATCCGTGGATGGTTCAGAACTATCCGTGGACGGTTGCCAACTATCCGTGGACAGTTGCAAACTATCCGTAGACGGTTTCAAACTAACTATACGTGGACGGTTACCAACTATCCGTGGACGGTTGCAAACTATCTGTGGACGGTTACAAACTATCCGTGGACGGTTGCAAACTATCCGTGGACAGTTGCAAACTATCTGTGGACGGTTACAAACTATCTGTGGACGGTTGCAAACTGTTGTAAAGTCTAGGTCGGAGCATAGAGAAATTCCATTTGTGAGATTATGTATGTGATTTTCTTAACAAAATTGTGCTTACTACATACTCAGCCACAATAGCCAACTAACTAACCTTGAGGTCATGTGCCGAAGCGATTTAGCACGAAAGACATGTCAACGCAGTGGTCGACGGGAGAAAGACTGGGCACCACCCTATTCCCAGGACTCGATCGCTCCAACACACTCCCCCGGTTTGATATACAGCGTAATCAAACATCCTTATAAATATGAATACAAAATCAACTACAATCTATTAAATTTTGACACATAACTGCAAATCACAATATATTCATTTACGTTTCATACTAGCTTGCCTTTGCAACTCTCCAATAATAGCAGCGTTGCGCTTCGCCCTAGTAACAGCTTGCAGTGGTTGCGAAGGCGCTTGTCGCCCTTGCCTAGATTGCGTTTGCTGCGCACTATCCTGAGGTGGCATTGCTCGCGTGTCCTGGTTTGCATTAGCGGCACACTCGGTTTTCTGCCAATAAGGACATCGAATTTCTAACGGAATAAGATATTTCAAATTTCGATTCAAAACTTTCTTACTGCCATCCCGTGATAATACTAATACCCTGGCTGCTCGCACTGAACCATCTGTTCCTGCCAGCAGCTCTAACACTCGGCAAAGTTTCCAAAAGGATCTTTTCGTTTGGTCATTCCTAAGGATACAAATATCATCAATTTTTATGTCAGGGTTGGTCTTACTACTGTTTCTTGGCCTGTAAGTTTCCAACAACCCCAGTAGGTACTCTTTCCTCCATCGATCTACAAAATTAGAAAGTAATTTTCGATTATACTTAGCTCGTTTCGACAAACTCTCATACGTATTAATTACTTCAAAATGTGCTTCATTTGGGTATTGACTCAAGTTACGACCGTTTATTAATTGGGATGGGGTTAGTGGATATGATATCCCGTCCGTATCATCAAAAACGTAGGTTAGGGGTCGTGAATTTATTACTCTTTCAATTTCCACGACAATTGTTTCCAATTCCCCATAACTTAGTGTCGCTCGACCCACGACTTTCGTCAGACAACGTTTCGTGCTTCTTATTAGTCGCTCCCAAAACCCCCCGTAAAATGGTGCGAGTTCTACGATAAACTTCCATTTTACACCTCTTATCGTAAAATATTCAGTTAGTTTGGGAGAACGCAGTAGTTTAGTGATCTCCTTGGAGGCCGACTTAAAGGTTTTGGCATTGTCGGAAATCAACAATGAGGGTGTCCCTCTACGAGCACTAAAGCGTCGATAAGCACAAATAAAATCTTCAACGCTTAATGATTCGACAACTTCAAGGTGAACTGCTCTCGTAGCAGCACACGTAAACAAGCACAGATAGCATTTAATTTGTTCGTCTTTATTCCATCTACCTGTTACCATTAATGGTCCCGCAAAGTCTATGCCTACATTTGTAAAGGGCGGACCACTATCAATGCGGAACTCTGGTAATTCAGGGCTGTACACGGTCTTGAAGGGTAAACCCTCAAGTCTCTTACACAAAATGCAACGACGTACGAGTTTTCTTACTTGTTCCCTCCCCCGGAGAACCCAATAACGCTGTCTCATTAAGTTTAACGTGTCCTTAACACCGTTGTGGAACACTTTATCATGGCAATCCTTAATTATTAGCTCCGACAACTTACTTTTAGCAGGCAAAAATACAGGTCGTTTGCTACTTTCAGCAATTGTAGACTTTCCTACACGTGTTCTACATCGAAGAATCATGTCCTTATCCAAAAATAGATTAAACTGGTTTATGTACAGCGGTGTTTTCGTACCCTTTTTGCCTGATTCCGAGCTTAACAAATATTTTATTTCAGATGAAAATGACTCGTGCTGAACTGACCGTATTAATACTGTTTCTGCCCTTTGAATTTCCGGGACACTTAAACCTTCGCTACGATTTATTTCAGTACCTTGTACCGCACTTTTCAAGTTGGAGATAAATCTTATAACCCATCCAAAACTTCGTACCAGTTTACCCTTGTCGTTAAAACGCGTTATATCAATAAGTTCTTCGAATTTCCCCTTTGAAGTAAATATTGCGTGGGTAATGATAGGCCCCTGTTTAACCCTTTCCTGCAATGCTTCTTCTACGACCAACTCACTGCCATTAGGGGACTTGGGCCATTCCTGTGGTTCTAACTTAAGAAATTGTGGACCCTCCCACCAGAACGAATTGGCAGCGAGACCCCCATGTTTTCCTCTGGAGGGCAGATCTGCCGGATTATCTACCCCAGGACAATGGAACCATTTTTCTTGCTTAGAAGTACTCAAAATTTTCGAAACTCTGTTCCTAACATATTGTGTCCAAGGTTTCACATTGCGAATCCAACAAAGAGTAGAATATGAGTCAGTCCAATAAAATGTGTCAATGACTTTATCCTGGAGCTCGTCCTGCAAAACAATTTTAACTGTTTGCATAAGTTTGGCAAGTAAACATGCACCTAAAAGCTCTAGTCTTGGAATGCTTTGTTTGTT